CATCTGGGCTTGAACTCTCGCTATCTGTCGCAAAGCTCGTTCTCAGATCCTTATCTAGATAGAGAGGCAGGTAATAAGCACACAATTACTAACAATGATTGTAGTGCATACCTCGTTCAAACCATTTTGCATTCAAAAAGTGGAATGCTCCAGCTTTCATCTGTACTTGAACTCAAATATAGAATAAGTGAATCCTTGGACATTACTGTTAGCTTACAAACACGTTTGAGATGTCATTGCCAGACTTTATGCTTACAACACTTTTGCAGCTTTAAACATAGGACATTACAATGACCTTCCTGAAGATAATTGGTTTGACAGCAATATCCCCTTTACATTAAAAAATATTTCTATCTCGAGCATATAAACAAAACGCGAAGAAATTAGGATTTCATGGTTTTCTTCGTTGTTCAAGTTTCTGCTTCTCATAAGGGCTTTCAATACAAACACATTCTCTTTCTCTTCCTATATCGCAGGCATTACTTCATCTGTGCATCAATGGTAATTTAGTCTATCCTTCAGGAGCTCTCCACTGACTTTTCAGAAGGTTTATCTCATTCCAGTTGATGTACGAGCGTGCCTTGAGCGTGATTGCGAGGTAATGCCCGCTTAAACACAAATACACCAGTTGCACATGCGGCCAGTGCGCTTATCGACTAGGACAAGCTACACAAACCCCTTGGGCTTGCCTCCTGGCACCGTGTTACTGGCTCAGAGCTCGGCCTCCTCCCTCCATCCACCCCCACTCGGGGTAACGTCATCAATCGAGAGCTGCGAGCCCTCTCACCGCCCGCCCGCTGCCCGTCCGTCCATCCGTCCGCTGCCGCCGCTGCTGCACAACACATCAATCGGAAAACGCGAGCACAATTTCAATTCGACCACAATTTGCAACGGCAATCGCCCGGAGGACGACGACCATGAACGAAAGAATCCCATCGATTTTCGACAAATGTCCGTCCAAAGAAAAAACTTATTTCAGGATGTTGGATAATTGGTTTTACAAAAAAATCTCTAACTAAGGTACAATTGAGACATAATGATGCAGCGCTTTGGATGATACGAGGAACATTTCTCTCTGTCAAGGATTAAGAAAAACTTGAGCTGAATTTCAATAAAATGAAAACTTTAAAAAGGATTCCCTAGTCAAATGTCTATGATTACCTAGTGATGTTCTACCACGACTGATTGTGCGAAATATCATTAGGATTATGAAGAAAGGTTGTTTCAATATGGGAATTTAGTCGCAAGAATAGAGATGTATAAGTAGCTTTTACCATCCATAGCTAAAAATGGTGCCACTTCTTCCCACCAATTTAACAGCATAGTTTTACGGCAAATTAGAGCGAATCAAAGCTTTTCAAAAATAGTTTTTGTAAACTTCTCAAAACAATATCATCAAGCATAGCATGGAAAAAAACAATCTTTTCAAACTACTCCCAAATTAGCCTTACATTGGAAAAGGCATGTATGTTCGCCCCTTCTTCCGCTTGTTATTCGTTGGCTAGAAGAAGCCAATTTTCTCCAAACGAATTCTGCGTAACGAACGAAACAAAACAGCGTATCGCGGGCCCACCCAACCAATGCGAAGGAAGCCTCATTTACCATTCTGCAGCACTCTCCATACCATCAAAGTTAAGTTGTCAAAGTGACGTGTTAACCAAAATACAATATTAACAGAGTGCAAGAATCCAATCATTAGGTGTAAGAATGATTATCATATAGGGTCCATTTATACTGAATACTCTCCGAAACTCTTAATGAGTGGTCAGCCTCGCGAAAAAACATTCGCAGCTAAAAAAGGCAATAACTTCGTTGTAATCTGAGTTGACTCTATATCGGATATGCAACAAATTTCTTTAAAAAGTTATGCAAAATTTAGTACTAATTAATATTTGAACGTATTTCCAATTTGATTTTTACTCAAATTTTTTCATTCTTGAAAACTGATTTGAAGTCAATTACTTCATAAGTTTTTTCAGGCATTTTTTAAGGGTCAGGCACCATGTCTCGTGAGAAAATTTCAGGTAAATAGATATGACTGATCCGTCTCACAAAGCTTCAAGATGCAATAAATGAGAGATAAAACCCAAACAATTTGCAACAAGAATCATCTAGCCCATCAAAATTCCAAAAACGATCGAAATTGCAAGAATTCCGGAAAGGACAAGAAAGTGAAGAAGTAGCGGGGATGGAAAGTCGCGAAAAATGAAAGGAAGCAAAACTTGAAGAGGCATTCGGAAACATCGCATTTACTCACTTTTCACAACGCGTTCCGTGTACTGCTTTGTGTCCTTCGTTGCAGCTTGTGAATTGTTTGGATTAGCAGACGTATCTGAAGACTTCCAGGTAAAAATGTGAAAAGCAACGAGTACGATAATATAAAATCATAGCTCAATACTAACATCTAGTACATGAATTCTAACTATACTTGATCTTGAAGAAGGGAAACGGAGCGCAGGAGCAAACCATGTAATGAGCTCTCAAATTTTATGTTTACAAGTAAAAAACTATACCAAACTTAGCACCCCCATGGATTCCTGAACAAGCAATGAAATAAACCTAGATTGTACCTATGAGATAAAATCCCAATAGGTTAATTTACTGTAGGTACAAGAAAGAAAACTTAACACGCAATGATATGCAAACAAATATGAAACAATACAAAAAACTTTTCTTCGATGAAGAAATAAACACTTTTCGAAATCACAACTTCTATAAGTGCAAATAAAACGGGTTTAAACCAAGAGATAAATGTCGACGAATACTAAAATGAAATATAAAGTTGGAATGAAATTGATCAGAACTCCATTTCTAGAAGTCTTCAAACTTCAACTTAAAAACGGTGTGATTTGACGGATTTAAAACGCTCTTCCAAGTTCCGCAATTTTCCATTCAATTTGAGCTAAAAGCGAACTTGCCAAATTCTCAAGTAAAAAGGCTCGCATTTCTGTTTTCACTTCGTGAAAATCACTCGAAGAACCGAGACATAACAAAGAAAATTAACTTTCCCTATGGTAAAAAGTCCAAATACCTTGCCCGGAGGAAGTAGAGGCCATTTGAAATCGTGGACGACGTTGACGATATAGTTAAGGCCCGTGTGTTGAGGCGCTCTACCGCATACCACTCCCGGTCTCTCGCAATACAATCGGACACCAGCCTGCAATACACACACACTCTCTTTCCGAGGAATAGATAGCATCGGTGGAGGCCAGCGAAGAACGACTGCACGGAAACAGCTGACAAACGAACGCACACACGGAAGAAATGCCAGGCGACGACGAAAATTCGGATATCTCGTTGTATGTCTCATTTTGAAACACGAAGACATGAATCCGGACAAGCGATACATGAGAAGAACTGCTTCAAACAACCAATCTGGCACCGCTTGACGAGTGAAACGCACTTATCCGCAACGAAATGGAAAATGGCATAATTTTGATCCATAAACGATTGTAAATGATACTAAAACAGAGATTAAGATGTTGCAAATGAGAAAAAATTATATTTGTAGCATTGATTAGGAAAGTTAATTATTAGACTAATGTTCATAGAATTTCCTCAAAAATTCAAACAGGCCAATTTAAAGAACATGAAATGTTGTCTCCTGGATGAAACGTTAAAAAAAAAGAAACAAGGAAAGAAAACCCTGGAAGACCTGCAGTGTAAAATATTTGGAAAAAGGGGCCCTTTGGAAAACATGAAATAAAGGAGAAGAGCATCTATCCAAACAACAATGAATGAAAATCGCAGTAAGAGCCACGAATGCAGCCGCTAGCGACAGCTTGGTGTAGATATGAAATCGCCAAATGT